GCGGTGCCGGGGCCGCCCTGGTGGGGCCTCCGGGCCGCGCTGCTGCCGCCTCCTGCCCGATCCCGATCCCGATCCGCATCCCCTCCTCCCCGCCCTTCGGCGCCACGGCGCTCAGCGAGCAGCTCCTGCGAGAGGCGGGTGGACGAGGAAGCCTCCTTGGAGGCACTCCGCTCTCAAACAAAACCTAAACAAAATTAAAAATATTAATAGGAAAAAGAAAATCCACACACTTCCCAAGACCATTGCTCAGTAGGATCAGCAAGCCATAGTACAGGTTTCATCTTAAGCTCCCGCCTTTTTTTAATCCTTGAAAATACCCTTTGATAGTATAAAAAAACAAAACAAAACAAAACAAAACAAAACAAAAAAAAACCCTTTTCTATTTAGCCTTGTCTTTGCATGCAACAAAATTACTGCTCCCATCCAGTCTAAAGTCACTTTGGCCTCTCCTGGAGGGGTCAGGGTGGATTCCTCTTCACGAATATGTCGTCAGCACTCAGCCTTCCTCGCTCCCTCAGGTACTGCAGGATATGAGGCCGCTGCCTCCAGGTTACCTTTACTCCATACGCATGCTCTGGAGTATCTGTGACCAGCACCGTTGCCAGATCCTCCTCCTCAGGGGGGTCAATGTTCGGTGCCAGAGTGTTATGCAGAAGCCAGACATGGTCACTCATTTGTGGCAAAGTGCTGCTGCAACTCAAGGTCCTTCCAGGAGGCAGATTTTGAGTCTGTGTATCTGGGCAAATAGAGACTTCTGGTTCTACGGGCTGAGCAACAGGCAATGCAGAGAGTCCTAAACATGGCAGAGAACTATCTACTTGGATGTTGGCTTTTGCCACTATCTTTTTTGGCGGCTGCCTGTGGGAGAGACGTACATCCTTCCTCGTGTGATCCGGACGATCTGAGAAGTGGTGCGCGTGCCCTTCCGGAGCCTCAAAAGTTAAAGGGGGAAACTTGCAAGGTATAACTTTTCGGCAAGCACCTCCTTGATGAAGAGAACTGTGGTTGGCATCCCAGTTCTGGGCTCTGTGACTCTTCTGACATCCTTTCGAGACTATGGGCTCTGAAGTTTCAAACTGTGGGCACACCTACAGGGCAAGACGGATTAAAACGTTTTTTTCCTCAGACAAAGGAATGCCAACACCATTCTACTCCCTCCCCGCCTCCCCCCTCGCCTCCCCAAATCTTTCTTCAGTGTAGTGTTTTCGTTAAGTGGGTGGTTTGGTCTGCAGCAGAGAAAGGCAGTTGCTAATCAAGTTGGTAAAGAAGACACCCTGCTAAACTTTGAAACTATGTTCTGCCACTCTTCTCTGAAAAGGGAATATGATTCAAGTGAGCTGCTGTATCTTAACTTAGGCACACAATAACTGGGAATTTGTTTTTAAAAGTCTAGTTGGCATGTAGTCCTCTAACCCCTGCTAATTTAAAACAGTTCAGAGCTGCATCTGATTTCTTGCTGTGTCTTAGCATAACTGAATAAATTCAGCAAATCACAACCTCAGCCTCCCTAAACAAGTTCAGGTTCAACTGACATCAATACATGTAAGATGATTTCAAATAAAAGATGTCCACTTAGAAGAATTAAATGATTGCAGTTATCTGTGGCTTTCTGATGCTGTAGTACTCTGAATACAGGGATTAACTATGAGTTATGAAATAAAGATGTTTCAGGGAGTATTTTGAAAGCCTTATTAACGACATCTAAAATGAAGAAACTACCTGGGCATTCAATGTCAATATTTTGGAGAAGCTAGTCTGGAATCTTTCACAGAAATTTAGATTGCTGAGCTTTGATTATTACTCGAAAGCTGGAAACCCTTCTATTAAAGTATTCTTTATATTCCTGAGTCTCAATGGAAAGGGTCAGCTTCAACATTCTGCACTCTTACTTTCTCTAGAGGATGCAGTGCTCAGAATAGCCTAGAAGCTATCTACAACACCTACAGTGCCCTTTCAGCATTTTGAAATTACTGCAGTATCTCAAAAATTAAGTACTACTTATTTATATTAAGGAATTAAATTTATATTAAGGATTGTGATTTTCTATTGTACATCTATCGCGCTTGAAGGCAAAGTCACTGCACAGCAGAACACAGCAATCATCCACAGGTAGTTGCATCCTGGCACACAACTTACAAGAACACCTGAGAGGTGTTAACCTTGAAGACATGACTTCCTGGCAAGCTGGTAGGGGCTTTTAACCAGGGCAGAAGCCTAGCAGTGAAAAGCTTGTGGAAGTCTTAATATATCCCCAAGATGAGCAAAACCTCTCTGCTGCCACTGACACAACTTGAGAGAAGATCTGCAGAGGATGCTTTGGGAAGTTGCAAATGTACCAGCATTCTTAGGTGGAATGGCATCTAGTAGGTTTGGTGCTGTTGGCTTCAAATATATTTTACAATTATTGTACATTTAGAATTGAAGAGTTGAGTGTGTGCCTGTATGGCACCTTCATATATAAAAGGGAAAAAAATGAACATGTTCTCCTCTGAAGTTAAGACATCACAAAAATAACTCTAGTACCCAGGGCCAGAGAAATGTCTCACACGGGTTTAAATGAGGCTTCTCAGAGCTGCTCTGTAAAGAGCTTGGAGACCCAGGTAACAGCAACAAAACTGTCCGAAGTGATAGCAGTTGTTGCATGAGAACAGCCTGTCCGTCCTTGTAGCAGCTGTTTGCTTAAAGCTCTTCGCATTAGGAGATATAATACAGAATGTCTGAGGACAGTGCAAACAATACCTGGAATATTATTTCAAACCAGAAAAGGAGCCCATTAGACACCTTGTTTGGGGAGAAACTGTTCAAAACTCACAGAAAAAGTGTGTGACAGGGAACACAGACCTCCACTCCAAGATTATTTGTTCTAAATTTATCACAGCATTAGAATATCTAAAGCCCAATTTAAATGAAAGGCCTAGTACTTTAACATCCATCACTTAGGGTTCAGAAATTATTTCAAGCAGTAAGCCAATTTAAAAAAAAAAAAAAAAAGCCCCAGAAAAACATTTTATCACATGCAGGACTTCCAGTCACTGTATAAAGTGGAGTGTTTTCATGAGAGTTACTTTTTCAAAAGACCAATAGTAATAGTTGGTCAGTACACAATGTACTTTCAGGTAACTCAGACATCACTGGTGATTTGCAACTAGAGTGTGAGGCAGCCCAAAAGTACTCATTTATGTTTTCACCAACTATAACAAATGCAAGTCCATACCACTGTTTTTCAGTATCTGAGACAGATAAGGTTTTGTTGGGACACGCAAGAGAATATTGAAAAGCATATTTTGGTAACAGCCAGAGGGAAAGACGATGTGTACCAACCCAGGCAATCGAGGTGTTTTGGTCCACAGGCTTGGTAGGAACATGTCTTGGATTCTCAGCCAAACGTAGTGGAGATTCCCAGGAATGGATAGGTCCCTCTTGCGGCCGCTCAAGGAATACCAGCTCTGCCTTCCTGGCCTTGTGGGTACGTTTCTTCTTCGGAGGCATCAAGAGGTAGGGTAAAACCACTTAGTAGCCTCATGATGCTTGTTAGGATCAACTGGAGAAAGAGGGAAGCACTGCAAGGAGATGCTAAAGTGCTCTCAAATCTGGGAGAGGCAAACAAATGGGTTTGAAGACCAACGTATTCAGAAACCTCAAATACAGTTTCTAAACAGAAGTAAAATGTTTATGCAACAGTCCCACGTTCATATCTCAAAGTAACCTCCACATTTGCGCCAGCAGTGCTGAACTTCGTAACTGCTGTAATGCAGATTTCACAGAAGCACAACAGGATGGGGAATTAATGCTCTCCCAGCTCCACGAAAGCAGGTAGCCAGATACAGCGGGGAAAGAGAGATGGGCAAATAACTTGAAAACACCCCAGCTGCAAAAGGAGTTCTGAGCTGGGATTTTGAGCAGGACTCATCACTATGGGGAAAAATATTTCCTTACAAAGTACATATTTTAGATACATAAATCAGATATCTTAAACTCACATAGGCATTTTTGTTCATTTGAAGTTTATTAAATAAATTAATAAAGACATCAGGCTGGATTGAAATACCAAAATACAAGCCCAACTGCATTCACAGAACAGGCTTGGTCACTAAAATTTTGAAGAAATTGAAACCACTAAGCTGCTAGAAAAGAAACAAATATGCAATAAGAATATGTTGGGTTATTGAACCAGCTCTCCAGGGGATTTTAAGAAATAATTCATTCCCAACAGTGCTATATCTAGTCTAGGCATATCTGAAAAAAAAAAGTTTAGAAATCAGTTTCAATAGTAGATAATTTTAGTAGATAAAAATGCTTTGCAAGGCTGTGAGCTATCACTCTAAAATTAGGAAAGACGAGAAGTCTTCCCATTTCTAGTTGTGAGCCGTATTTCCCCTATAGCATATTCCCTATGTCAAACCCTATATTTTCAATTTCAGGTCTTTTAAAGTTAAAGAAAAAAAAAACCCACGCAGGGACCCCCCACGCAACCCAACTTACTCCTTCCCCGGAGAACCCCCCATCTCTCCTCGGCGCGGCCTCGCTCGCCCAGCGAGCGGGCTGACGGCGCCCCGCCTTCCACCCGGGC